TCTAGATCAGGGGATCTCATAGACACATCTCGATCAGGGGATCTCATTAGACACATCTAGATCAGGGGATCTCATTAGACACATCTCGATCAGGGGATCTCATTAGACACATCTAGATCAGGGGATCTCATTAGATACATCTAGATCAGGGGTTCTCATTAGACACATCTAGATCAGGGGATCTCATTAGATACATCTAGATCAGGGGATCTCATTAGATACATCTAGATCAGGGGATCTCATTAGATACATCTAGATCAGGGGATCTCATTAGATACATCTAGATCAGGGGATCTCATTAGATACATCTAGATCAGGGGATCTCATTAGATACATCTAGATCAGGGGATCTCATTAGATACATCTAGATCAGGGGATCTCATTAGACACATCTAGATCAGGGGATCTCATTAGATAACATAGATCAGGGGATCTCATTAGACACATCTAGATCAGGGGATCTCATTAGATACATCTAGATCAGGGGATCTCATTAGATACATCTAGATCAGGGGATCTCATTAGATACATCTAGATCAGGGGATCTCATTAGACACATCTAGATCAGGGGATCTCATTAGATACATCTAATGAGATGTATCTGATCTCACTAGATGTCAGAATTTTTTTCTGATACGTCAGTTTTATCAGTTCCATTTGCTGCAGAAATACTTGCTAGTTTATTGGACATGAAACAGTTGAATTACTGTTGAACTTTTGTATCAGAAACATCTGTCAAGTTTGTTATCACAATACACTTCTCTAAACGCATGTGTTCTTGTTATCATTTCACACCTGTTATAAGTAGCCACATGTACACGTGTGTCCTTGCATAGCTGTTACTACACCATGGTCGGAGGCACTTGTGGTCACGCATGCAGTTGCAGGTGTACACACACATATGCAGTGGCAGGTGTGCACACCAAAGTGTTAGCATACCACCCCCTCCAGCAGCTTGTGTCCATACATGTACCAACAGGTGTGGGGTCCACTTGGTATGGGTGTGGAGTCCATTTGGTATGGGTGTGGGGTCCCCACAATGATTGAGAGGTATACTTCAGCTGGGAGATGTACTGTTGGCGGACTGGAGCAGTGAAGTTCACTTCTACCTACGCAGGTCGGGTCGTGTTCAGCCAGAAACCTTCCAGACCAAAAGCAGTGTAGAAACTATTGGGCTCGGTTGCTAATATTATTCAGCCGGATAACATTACAGACTGACTCGACGAATCTGTATAATGAAAGCAGCAGCTTTGCCATTGTTGTGTGTGTGGAGGCAACCATGCAAGGCCCAAGTTGGGTTGCATGGTGTATATTGATCAGTTGGCCTTGGACTTCCTTACCCAAGCTGCCTCTCACCAGGATGAAAGGCCAGCCACGTCTGATTAAAGTCCTTTGAAGTCACTTTCTTTGAATTCTTAGTGTTCCAAGATTAGTTTTGACATCTATTAACTAATAGATTTGAAACAGTCAAAAACGTTTCTCGAGCTTTTCTGTAACGTTCCTAGAACGTTTCTTTTAGTCAACACCGTTGCTTTAAATTTTCAAACCCAATCCAAGTCTTGTGCGACGTTAGCAGAGCTCTCTGAAGGATTTTTGTTGACCAGACCACACACTAGAAGGTGAAGGAACAACGACGTTTCGGTCCGTCCTGGACCATTCTCAAGTCGATTGTGACTTGAGAATGGTCCAGGACGGAGCGAAACGTCGTCGTCCCTTCACCTTCTAGTGTGTGGTCTGGTCAACATACTTCAGCCACGTTATTGTGACTCCTCGCCTGCGTAACAGTATTGTAACGACTATAGCAGTAACTACTATGTGTAACAGTATTATAACTACTGCGTAACAGTAGTATTGTGACTCCTCACCTGTATAACAGTGTCTGTCTGTGTCTCAGGAAACCCCAGGAGACGCCAGCCACCACCACCACCACCAAGTCCGTCTTCACCAACAATAACAACAACACCTGCTACAACAACAACAACAACAACAAGCACCACGACCAGAAGGTGGTGATCAACAACAACAACAACAACAAGGACAAGAACAAGCAGAGGGAGGAGGAGGAGGAGGACACGTGTCTCTACACCCAGCACGACAACCCTCTCTTGATCATTGAAACAGGTAACTCACTCACTCACTCTCTCTCTCTCTCTCTCTCTCTCTCTCTCTCTCTCTCTCTCTCTCTCTCTCTCTCTCTCTCTCTCTCTCTCTCTCTCTCTCTCTCTCTCTCTCTCACGCTTATCACTCACACCTATGCCAGTATGCACACTGTATCTGCATGCAGATATGCAGTATGTATATCTACATTCTTCAGTACCCTTTGTATTAGGGGTATACACACTGGGAAGTGTACCTCGCTTCCTGGTGTACATATGCTGAGGTTATCTTGAGGGTTATCTTGAGATGATTTCGGGGCTTTAGTGTCCCCGCGGCCCGGTCCTCGACCAGGCCTCCACCCCCAGGAAGCAGCCCGTGACAGCTGACTAACACCCAGGTATCTATTTTACTGCTAGGTAACAGGGGCATAGGGTGAAAGAAACTCTGCCCATTGTTTCTCGCTGGCGCCAAAGATCGAACCCAGGACCACAGCATCACAAGTCCAGTGTGCTGTCCGCTCAGCCGACCGGCTCCCTGTTAGTATTCATAGACTAACTAGACTAACATTATACAATAATAACATAGAGATTAGATATGCAAATTATATGTCAGCTCATTGCTCCTGGAGAGCAGTGTCGGCGGCTGACACTCTGACATTTAACGCAGTTGTCAACTGATAAGAGGACATCCACCGGCTTCTGCGACCCGGGGACTCTAGTGTGGTTCCTCACCGCCCCGTGAACACTATAGTGCCTCTAGTGTGGTTCCTCACCGCCCCGTGAACACTATAGTGACTAGTGTGGTTCCTCACCGCCCCGTGAACACTATAGTGACTAGTGTGGTTCCTCACCACCCCGTGAACACTATAGTGACTCTAGTGTGGTTCCTCACCACCCCGTGAACACTATAGTGACTAGTGTGGTTCCTCACCACCCCGTGAACACTATAGTGACTCTAGTGTGCCTCCTTACCGCCCTGTGAACACTATAGTGACTCTAGTGTGGTTCCTCACCGCCCCGTGAACACTATAGTGACTAGTGTGGTTCCTCACCACCCCGTGAACACTATAGTGACTCTAGTGTGCCTCCTTACTGCCCTGTGAACACTATAGTGACTCTAGTGTGGTTCCTCACCGCCCCGTGAACACTATAGTGCCTCTAGTGTGGTTCCTCACCGCCCCGTGAACACTATAGTGACTAGTGTGGTTCCTCACCGCCCCGTGAACACTATAGTGACTAGTGTGGTTCCTCACCGCCCTGTGAACACTATAGTGACTCTAGTGTGGTTCTTCACCACCCCGTGAACACTATAGTGACTCTAGTGTGGTTCCTCACCACCCCGTGAACACTATAGTGACTCTAGTGTGCCTCCTTACCGCCCTGTGAACACTATAGTGACTCTAGTGTGGTTCCTCACCGCCCCGTGAACACTATAGTGACTAGTGTGGTTCCTCACCACCCCGTGAACACTATAGTGACTCTAGTGTGGTTCCTCACCACCCCGTGAACACTATAGTGACTCTAGTGTGGTTCCTCACCACCCCGTGAACACTATAGTGACTCTAGTGTGGTTCCTCACCACCCCGTGAACACTATAGTGACTCTAGTGTGGTTCCTCACCACCCCGTGAACACTATAGTGACTCTAGTGTGGTTCCTCACCACCCCGTGAACACTATAGTGACTCTAGTGTGCCTCCTTACCGCCCTGTGAACACTATAGTGACTCTAGTGTGGTTCCTCACCGCCCCGTGAACACTATAGTGACTCTAGTGTGGTTCCTCACCGCCCCGTGAACACTATAGTGACTAGTGTGGTTCCTCACCGCCCCGTGAACACTATAGTGACTAGTGTGGTTCCTCACCGCCCCGTGAACACTATAGTGACTAGTGTGGTTCCTCACCACCCCGTGAACACTATAGTGACTAGTGTGGTTCCTCACCACCCCGTGAACACTATAGTGACTCTAGTGTGGTTCCTCACCGCCCCGTGAGCACTATAGTGACTAGTGTGGTTCCTCACCACCCCGTGAACACTATAGTGACTCTAGTGTGCCTCCTTACCGCCCTGTGAACACTATAGTGACTCTAGTGTGGTTCCTCACCGTCCTCTGAACTCTATAGTGATTCTAGTGTATAGTCACTGTACTCCATCCACCTTCAGCAGTGGGGGAAGGTGAAAAGTACTAAAATAACTATCACCATCATCGACATCACTATTACAAACGTCATCACCCATCACCATCAACACCGCCACCACCCGCCGCCAATCCACCATTGTCACCCCTTGAACTATATGTTTAACACTTTTCTAACCCTGTCCATGGAGGACAGAAGAAAATGTATATATGCTGGTTAGCATTGTAAATGTCTGGCCACGTCTGTGGTAGAAAATAATAATAATAAAAAAAAAACATTGTCACCGCCACCCTTAACATACTATATTATGTTTCAGTTTCCGGAGTAAGAAACCCAGTTGACACAGACTTCACCACCACTAAAAGCAGCACCAGTAGCACCAGTAGCAGCAGCAGCAGCAGCAGCACCACCACCACCACCACCAGCAGCAGCAGCAGCACCAGTAGCCCCAGCAGCAGCAGTCTGCCGGAGAGAGATGGAATGACCACCTCCCCAGCCGCCTCCCTGCTCGACCTCTCGGGTGAGGTCAACTACTACCACCTTACTGTCTCCTCTACGCCTCCATCTGTATATGAAAGACATTCACTTATCACTGAGGCATTACACAGTGCTACACATGTTGCTCATGTGTTTGTAAGTGGACGTAGTGTTACAGGTAGGACATGTGATCTCTCTTAGTCGGGCACTCAGATGTTCAGCTGTCGCTTCCTGGGTCCTGGTCCAAATCCTGGTCCTGCTGCTTATTTATAGTATATATATATTATATATATATATATATATATATATATATATATATATATATATATATATATATATATATATATATATATATATATATATATATATATATATATGTCGTACCTAGTAGCCAGAACGCACTTCTCAGCCTACTATGCAAGGCCCGATTTGCCTAATAAGCCAAGTTTTTCTGAATTAATATATTTTTTCTAATTTTTTTCTTATGAAATGATAAAGCTACCTATTTCATTATGTATGAGGTAATTTTTTTTTATTGGTGTTAAAATTAACGTAGATATATGACCGAACCTAACCAACCCCACCTAACTTAACCTAACCTATCTTTATAGATTAGGTTAGGTTAGGTAGCCGAAAAAGTTAGGTTAGGTTAGGTTAGGTAGGTTAGGTACTCGAAAAACAATTAATTCATGAAAACTTGGCTTATTAGGCAAATCGGGCCTTGCATAGTAGGGCGAGAAGTGCGTTCTGGCTACTAGGTACGACATATATAAATATATATAAATATATATAAATATATATATATATGTCGTACCTAGTAGCCAGAACGTACTTCTCGGCCTACTATGCAAGGCCCGATTTGCCTAATAAGCCAAGTTTTCCTGAATTAATATATTTTCTCTAATTTTTTTCTTATGAAATGATAAAGCTACCCATTTCATTATGTATGAGGTCAACTTTTTTTTATTGGAGTTAAAATTAACGTAGATATATGACCGAACCTAACCAACCCTACCTAACCTAACCTAACCTATCTTTAAAGATTAGGTAGCCGAAAAAGTTAGGTTAGGTTAGGTTAGGTAGGTTAGGTAGTCGAAAAACAATTAATACATGAAAACTTGGCTTATTAGGCAAATCGGGCCTTGCATAGTAGGCAGAGAAGTGCGTTCTGGCTACTAGGTACGACATATATATATATATATATATATATATATATATATATATATATATATATATATATATATATATATATATATATATATATATATATATGTCGTACCTAGTAGCCAGAACTCACTTCTCAGCCTACTATTTAAGGCCCGATTTGCCTAATAAGCGAAGTTTTCCTGAATTAATATATTTACTATAATTTTTTTCTTATGAAATGATAAAGCAACCCTTTTCTCTATGTATGAGGTCAATTTTTTTTATTGGAGTTAAAATTAACGTAGATATATGACCGAACCTAACCAACCCTACCTAACCTAACCTAACCTATATTTATAGGTAAGGTTAGGTTAGGTAGCCAAAAAAAGCTAGGTTAGGTTAGGTTAGGTAGGTTAGGTTAGGTTAGGTTAGGTAGGTTAGGTAGACGAAAAAACATTAATTCATGAAAACTTGGCTTATTAGGCAAATCGGGCCTTGAATAGTAGGCTGAGAAGTGCGTTCTGGCTATTAGGTACGACATATATATATATATATATATATATATATATATATATATATATATATATATATATATATATATATATATATATATATATATATATATATATATATATATATATATACATACATACATACATACATACATACATACATACATACATACATACATACATACATACATACATACATACATACATACATATATACATACAAAACTTTATAGGGGGTTTGTGCGCACTTTGAGCTTAACAGTGCTGTTTATTCACTATTTTCGAAGTACTTAATTTGTATTAATTTTCACTGAATACTAAATGAAATAAAACAATTCTAAATGTTAAGTTAGATAACTATAGTTATAGATGTTATAGTTAATATAACTATAGTTAGAGATGTTATAGCTACTTATGTTAGTTTTCTTTTGTTATTGTTTTACAGAAAACGTGAGTTTGAGCAGCGACCGTCTGCACCACCCGTCTATCTCCTCGGGGGGACTACACCAGTTGCGTCGTCTCACTTCCTCCTCCAACGGGTCGCTCTCCTCCATTGATAATGACGAGTCAGACTTAGACTCTTGCAGTTCACTCGAAGTGGACATACCTAGAGGTGACCCTCGGGACTTTATTAACACTAAAGATAAAGATTATAAGAGTCAGTTGGATTTCGAGGTTCTTGGGTATCATTCCCGTCGGCCGAGTTCTTTGTCGTGTGGTTACCAAGACTGTGAGGGCTGGTCAGCGGACTCTGCCAGCTTCACCTACGTCGACCTCCACTGTAATGACCTCAGCCCCGACCACAATCTTTGCAACAATAATGTTAATGAACTGACGGAGTGCGGCGCGTTTATTAAATCCTTTTATGATAAACCCAAAATCCAACTGCAGAGTGACGGTCATTTATGTAACAAATCCGGTGATGATAATGGAAATGTAGGCCCCGTGGGCAGCAGTGCGGACCCCGAGGAAACATGTAATGCCCACACCTCCACGCCCGAGTCGCTCGAATTCACCTCGGACGACGAAAATCCTTCTGACATCGAGCAGAAGATGGCAGAGACCAAAGTGAAGATGAACGACGCTATATTATCCAACGGGAAGGAGGAGCTGTCCCTCCACGGGCGGAAGTTGAAGCACTACATGAAGCACAAGGAGATGAAGGAGACGTGTGGAGCTGCTGGGAGCCTCAAGCAGCACCATCACCACAACCTCAGCCCTATGAAGCAGCCCAACTCCCTCAAGCTGTCGGACGCCCCCGACGGTGACAACCGCTACACGCAGGCGCCCGAGAGCCCCATCGTCGACGCCTACGAGAAGGAGTGCCTCGATGTGCCCGAGAAGATGGTCCGTGAGCTGGAGAACCAGGCCAAGGAAAGCGTCGTTGGGGAAGAAAAAAAGGAAGAAAGGGAGGAAGAAGAAGAGGAGGAGCAAGGCGGCGCCGGGGACGACTTTATTCCCTGCAAGAAAGAAAAAATGGAAATCAACGAACACCACAAAAAGTGTCGCTCTGGGGATCAAGAGGACAAGGACGTCCCGACGCCCCCAGAAGTGCCGACATCCAAGAAGGCCGACACTGACGCCAGTAAGGAGAACGTCTTCCCCGTCGCCTCCAGTGTCGGTGAGAGGTCTCTCTGTATCCTCAGTCATTGTCTTATTAAGCAACCATACTCAATATCAATGTCTACTAACTTGAGCTGTTGAGGTGGTGTTAACCATTGAAGTATTGTGTGAGTAGGTCGTCACGACCACTTCACTGTACTGAGCAAAGGTCTGTACATCATGAGAAAAGCTTTTCAATGCCTTTTGTCCTCTCGTAGCCAGGTAGGTTAAGTCTTGTATTTACTAGAATGCTGCTTGAAATGCCCTCATTGCCCCAGCTGTTTTTCTCGTGGTGTGTAGAGCACTCCAACACTAACATAAGATGTGCAGTCATTGTAGGGTGGCAAGTGTTGTTTACACTTCAACGATAGCCTCTGTGACTCCTGATTCAACGTAATAGTTTTATATTTCCACAACATACCAGTAGGACTAAAATCTTAGCAAGGGGCTATTGTATATGAACAAATCCACAAGGGCCGTGACGAGGATTCGAACCTGCGCCCGGGAGCATCCCAGACAGTTCATTTGATGCATCACGTTATTGTGATCTCTGTGTTATTGTATATTAATATGATTGAGCATAATCTCCCCACACCGTGGATCATCACGCCCCTACGACCTCTGTCTTGCCCCCAGAGAGGAGTCGTGTCTCGAGGGTGACTTTCGGGTCGGTGGAGGAGGCGGGGGTGGTGCGGCGAGACAGCCCTCAGCGCCGCAGGGATCGTGCCGCACTCCGCAAGTCTGTCCCGCAAGCGGCCTCCTGCTCAGCCTCCTCCAGGGACAGAGCCAAGCTGGGCTCCCCCGACGGAGGTGAGTGCCTCTCACATCAGTCCTAAGGTGAGTGTGTCTTCATCTGTGGTTGTTGCCAAGCACCACCTTGAGGCCTTTAACCCAGGTAAGTGTGGAGACGCCTCGCGTCCCTCACTCTCTTCCACCTCACCAGTATTCATACACAAATAACATGGCGAGTCTATAGTTCCACAGAAGATGGGGTGAGAATGTTCTGTATAGAGTGAGGATGTTCTGTATAGAGTGAGGATGTTCTATAGTTCCATAGAAGAGAGGTGAGGATGTTCTATATAGAGTGAGGATGTTCTATAGTTCCATAGAAGATAGGGTGAGAATGTTCTATATAGAGTGAGGATGTTCTATAGTTCCACAGAAGAGAGGTGAGGATGTTCTATATAGAGTGAGGATGTTCTATAGTTCCACAGAAGAGAGGTGAGGATGTTCTATATAGAGTGAGGATGTTCTATATAGAGTGAGGATGTTCTATAGTTCCACAGAAGAGAGGTGAGGATGTTCTATATAGAGTGAGGATGTTCTATATAGAGTGAGGATGTTCTATAGTTCCACAGAAGAGAGGTGAGGATGTTCTATAGTTCCACAGAAGAGAGGTGAGGATGTTCTATATAGAGTGAGGATGTTCTATAGTTCCACAGAAGAGAGGTGAGGATGTTCTATAGTTCCACAGAAGAGAGGTGAGGATGTTCTATATAGAGTGAGGATGTTCTATAGTTCCACAGAAGAGAGGTGAGGATGTTCTATATAGAGTGAGGATGTTCTATAGTTCCACAGAAGAGAGGTGAGGATGTTCTATATAGAGTGAGGATGTTCTATAGTTCCACAGAAGAGAGGTGAGGATGTTCTATATAGAGTGAGGATGTTCTATAGTTCCACAGAAGAGAGGTGAGGATGTTCTATATAGAGTGAGGATGTTCTATATAGAGTGAGGATGTTCTATAGTTCCACAGAAGAGAGGTGAGGATGTTCTATATAGAGTGAGGATGTTCTATATAGAGTGAGGATGTTCTATAGTTCCACAGAAGAGAGGTGAGGATGTTCTATATAGAGTGAGGATGTTCTATAGTTCCACAGAAGAGAGGTGAGGATGTTCTATATAGAGTGAGGATGTTCTATAGTTCCACAGAAGAGAGGTGAGGATGTTCTATATAGAGTGAGGATCTACTATAGTGCCATAGAAGATGGGACGAGAAAGTAAAGGTCGGTCTGGCACTCCTTCCGACTACCAAAACGTTCATAGTAGTCGAGTAGTAAAGTTATTTACAATCTTATAAAATATAAAAACAAAACTAGTACGGAAGTTACTTAAGCCAATGTTTATTTTGTCTGAAAAGCCAGACTCCCCTTCTCAGCGCAGCCAGGCGTACGATCACCTTCCCCTCTGGTTACACCATAACTGCTGATCACCCGCTGATAGACGAAGGCCTACAAGTAATTGAATCGTGTTATTGAACATGTGACTTAAACACACACTGTTTATACTGTTCATTTATACTGTGTATGATGTCATTAATGTACGGCCGTTGACGTCATCACAGGAAAACAGTGACGTCACGCTCGTGCAAGACCGCTCACGTCACCGTATAGGAGAGACTCACTAAGAGCAATATACACGGTTATCTTGAGATGATTTCGGGGCTTTAGTGTCCCCGCGGCCCGGTCCTCGACCAGGTCTCCACCCCCAGGAAGCAGCCCGTGACAGCTGACTAACTCCCAGGTACCTATTTTACTGCTAGGTAACAGGGGCATAGGGTGAAAGAAACGCTGCCCATTGTTTCTCGTCGGCGCCTGGGATCGAACCCGGGACCACAGGATCACAAGTCCAGCGTGCTGTCCGCTCGGCCGACCGGCTCCCTTGCTCACCATTAGGGAAACTCTTACCGATAAACTCCCCTTTACACCAACACTCCCCCCTTACACCTTCCCCCCCTTCCTTTACACCTACACCCCCGCCCCCCTCTACCATGCCGGGCCCGCATCACCCCCCCCCCAGGCATGAAGGCAGAGGGGGGCTGACAGTGTGTGGGGCTCCCTGACACAGGCCGCTGGTTAGCCCTTGTTAATTTTGCACCAAAGGGCGAGTTATACATCAGTCTCGCTCCTCCTAGACAGCTGTATTTGAGGTTTAGAAGTTGTATTCTTAATGATGCATGCAAGCGTCCACAGGTGTGGCCGCGGGGGGGGAGGGGGGGGGGGAACACGTGTATAAAACCTGGTGACAATTAGAGCGGCGAGGGTTGCATGGCGTGTAGTGCCCTTCTCCGGTCCTCCACCCCGTCATCTTGCTCACTCCATCCACTTGGGCTGGACGGTAGAGCGACGGTAGAGCTTCATGCAGGTCGGCGTTCAATCCCCGACCGTCCAAATGGTTGGGGCACCATTCCTTCCCCTCCGTCCCATCCCAAACTCTTATCTTGGCCCCCTCACGGTGCTATATGGTCGTAATGGCTTGGCGTTTTCCCTCATAGTTGCCTACCCTTGCCCACTTCAACACCTGCGTGACGGGAGACATCTCCCGTCACGCAGGGTGCAGTCGCACCTCCACAGATCTCCAGTATCATCTCTTGATACTGGTAATGGTTCAAAAGGGCCACCACTTTCGGGCTATTCATGCCCGTGCCACCTTTTGGGTGGCTTAATCTTCATCAATCATCAATCATCATCAACACCTGCACATTCTCGTGTTGAGTTTCCCTCATCTTGCCCATCTCTCCGTTCCATACCCTTGCCCTCACCTTGCCTGCTCTCCCTCTTCCCTCTCCCCGGCCGCCTCTCCCAGCAGCATCACGTCCTCAGTAATGTGAGTGACGGGAGATAAGGACCAGACGACACGTGATGATTGTACCTGGGAGCCGCACCCCCCCCCCTCCCCACCTCCCTCCTTGCCTTAATTAACACTCCGCGCCAAAATTATTACCTAACACAGCTTGCACAAACGCGGCATTAGCTCATGGGCCCCGCCTTTATATCAACACCTCCAGTAATAACGGCTGCCTGTGTGCCAGAGACAATTTAGAGCTCCAATGATGTTCGGGATATTATTTGCATACACATACAAGTGAAGTGTGTTGTAAATACATTCATAAACCCGTGCACGGTCAAGAACCAGCACTGTGGTGGATATCTTGCTCTGAATAGTTGCACCGAACACAGTCACAGACATACACTTAGCTCACTATGTTTAACTGATCTCTAACCCTGTCTATGGAGGACAGAAGAAAATGTATATATGCTGGTTAGCATTGTAAATGTGTGGCCACGTCTGTGGTAGAAAATAATAATAATAATAAAAAACTAAGCTGACTGGGCTGCACTTAGCACCACAAAATATGTCAATAATGCGTATACAAAATAAGTACAGTTGACTTAACTCATGAGCCAGATAACACCCACACACAGGCGGTTTCCTGTCAGGGACTTGATGAATGGAACCCCACACCGTTGCTGTGTCTCAACCGACGTACTGAAGATTACAGTTTGAGGAGTAACTCTTAAGTCTTCTGTGGTGTAGGGAATGGAGGAACTATAGAGCTGTGAGTTCACGTCTTTACCCGGGAACTGCCTTTCCCAGAATGATGAGAAGGAGTTCAAAGCGAGATGGTTGAGCTCACTCCTCGTATCACTGAAGTTGGAACCCTTCGCATAGAGCACCAATCATAATACAGTGTCAAACACACACACACACACACACACACACACACACACACACACACACACACACACACACACACACACACACACACACACACACACACACACACACACACACACACACACACTGGGTAAACTCTGGGCTTCTCTGAAGAAACTGGGAGTGGGAGAAAGGATTATAAAACCCACTGGTGAAGGTCATGTCAGCCAAGACATGAGAATCGACTTGAGAATGGTCCAGGACGGACCGAAACGTCGTCGTCCCTTCACCTTCTAGTATGTAGTCTGGTCAACAATCAGCCGAGACCTTTCCTCGCTACCTGCTACACTCAACAGCTAAAGTTGTGACAGCAAAACCCTCCCATAATTATACAGGCGAGATGTATAAACTGACATCTGCTAATATAACCAGACGTCTTGAGTCACCACACCCACGATATCTAAATTACCCATGTCATATCTGATCCCTAGATATCCTACACGAGGTACTTGTGTCCTTAGATAAGGGCGATCACCAATGCTCAGTGGTACACAGTACTGTATATCACAGTAGTCGTGGGGTACAAGTCTAGCTGAGAGAGCACTGTTCTCTCACATGGAGGTAGCCTTTAATGTCTCATTTTACTTCCTACAGCTTGCTTACCGGTTAAATACTGGCCTCTTGTTACTGTTCAACCTTAACATTTTTTTTCATGAAAACTTTCCAATCGACTGTTGTTATTGTTATAAACTGCCTCCTGGTGCTTCGGAGCCCATTAACTGTTTAATAATTGGAAACAAAGCCGTCAAAGATTGAGAAAAGATGTACAGGTTCGTAAGTGCTTTCGTGAATCAGGCCCCTCGTCCTCTGCCTCTCAGCGGACTTATAGAAGGACCGGCAGGCCATAGTGTCCAAAAAGCTCCCAAGAGACAAGCCAATAACGCCCCACACCTCGTTAGGTTAACTAGGTTTATTAAAGAAAAGAAATAGAGGATGAGGACAAGCGATGACGTAGAACGACACATATTTCTGGTCCTATTTTGAACCCGCCCAGCTTGTGACCTCTGGCAACTTGCTCCTGCCGGACATTTCAACATAACATTTTTAACATACAATTGTGAGTTAAAACATTCATATAGTTCTCCAATGAAAATTATATTTGTTAAATTCTTCATTATATTTTTAACTAATGCTGAAAACCTTGAAAAACCCGTATTAACAATGCTGAAAAAGCCGTATTAACAATTCTCCACGTGCAAATATTCATACATAAATGTCACCCTCAAATAAAATAAGCATCATGAATCAAAATATACTACAAGGAATCATTATATAACTTCGTCTCACATCAGAAATTCAAAATAAACGGTAAAAA